AAGAAGTGACTCACTTACAAGCTTTCAAGAGGGAGCCTAGCTCCAGAAGGGGCAGAGGTAGGTAGAACCTCCACTGAATGATTTCCAATCTGTTGGACCGGGCTGGAGAAAGGAAATGGGGATAAGACTCTTGTGGTACAATAGTGAATAATTGCCATCAGGACTGACTGGGGGTAGGAAATTTAGAGGTAGATGTTTTTTGACAAAAGGAGGAGAGTGGTTGATTTTGCAGCCCAGGAGCGGAGGTCCCTGGGATCATCAAGTGAGAAGAGCGGAGAGTGTGACCCTACCCAGAGAGTCCAAGGATGGAGATAGAGATGAAGACATGGATAGATGGAGTGGCTGGGGTCACGGGACTCAGGGAGGGAAAGGGGTTATGTGCTGATGACCAGGGGAGGAGAGGACAGGCCTGTGGGGTGTATGCTTTGGTTATTTGATGATGCATGGAGGGGATTGTAATCATTGCAATGAAATGAAATATGATAGGATGAATGTAAAACTGATGTTCTCCATGTAAGCCTACATAATTAACAATAAAAACTTTAAAACAACAACAACAACAGATCATATCACCAGAATAATTGTAAGTGGTCTAGTCTGAGTACTGCGGTGACACTGTAGGATAAGCACTGAACTGAAAAGTCCATTTGAACTGCAATGTGGGCAATTCTAACTCACCAGTTGTTCCTCAGAAACTCTATATAGGACTCCTATGAGTTGGAACTGACTCGAAGGCACTTAAAAACAACAACAACAACATGAAATCTGATCCTGGGAGCCTTGGTATGGCATTGTAGCATAAACAGTAAAGTACTAACAACAAGGTTGGTGATTCAAATCCACAACCTCTCCTCAGAAACTCTATAGGGGTCACTATGATTCATAACCAACTCAACATCACTTAAAACAACAACTAGAAAGCCAGAGCCTGTGTCATTGATGTTAAAGTATGGACATATAGGAAGGAGAACTGGAGGTACCAGGAGCCCTAGTAGGATGCTTACTTTTTCTTTGTTGATTTCTCCTTTCTGTTTCCCATATTCCATTCAGAAAGTCTCCTTCCCCATTCTCCATTTCTATTGCTTTAGAAGACAGATAAAACTCTTTAGCACCTTATTTATAAAATATGGGGAGAATAAGGCAAACTATTATGAGCTCTAACTTTTGCTGCATCAAGCATACAGCAAGGAAGAATCATGAAAAAAACATGTCAGAGGAATGTGAAGGGCAAAGGTGATTGTTTGCCTATTTATAAAATGTCACAGTGACACTTAAGTAGAAATTAGATTACTTACTTTACTTAGTTTTGTAAAAATCACATATTTTCATCATCAGATTCTAGTACTGTGGAGGTAAATACATTTTCATTGAAATATTGAAATAAAAATTATTCTCCTCCTAAGAAAATGGTAGAAAACAAGAAAAGAATATTAGAAAGAACCAAGTAATAAAATGAAGCTGACTTTTTTTTCTTCTTTTTTTCTTGCTTTCGTAAAATATCTAAGTGAAACAATTTTAGTATCTTTTCTAATGTGGAAATGATGAATCAGGTTCATCTTATTTTAGGCACTTCTGTCTCTCACCTACAATATTTGGAATTTTGTACATACTATATGTAAGCAAAAACTGAAGTACTTGTTTTTAAAACTTTCTTCAAAATGCAAAATGTAGCTCTATCATACATTTTTAAAAACTGATAAATGAGTTGACAACCATTTTTATAATCTCACACTTTAATGAAAAAGAAACAAAAGCAGTCTTCGAACAATAGAGTGAAACAATTTTAAGTATATTGTGGTAATATTTGTAGACCAAGGGCAAAATAAACCAAACAGGAAAAGGAGATAGTATATATGGGTAGTATGACTTGCAAGGAGCTCTGGTAGTGTAGTGGTTACGAATTGGGCTGCAAACCTTATGGTCAGTGGTTTGAAACTACCAGCCGCTCCGCGGGAGAAAGATGAGGCTTTCTACTCCCTTAAAGATTTACACCCTTGGAAACCCTGTACAGGGTCGCTAGGGGTCCCTACGGGTCAATGGCACTTAACAACAACAACAATGTTACTAAAGAACCAAACCTTTTTGCCTTAATAGCTTTGATTTGATTTAATTTTTGCATTGAAATGCTAAAATTCAATTTTAGCATTATAATGAGTTGCTTCCCTAATTATCACATTTCCCTGTATGTTACATTTTGTCTTCTTGGGAATGTTGCTAGCACTGTTTACTAGTAAGTAAATTAATTTTATTGCTGTCTCTTAAAAATAGCAAACAAAATTTCAGTGTAATAACTCTCCAGCTATACCTTTGCATTGGATGCATGGAGGATCTGTAGGATAAGCACTGGACTGTGAACCACAGGGTCAGAGAATCACGTCCACCAGCCACTGCGCTGGAGAAAGTTGAGTATTTCCACTCCTGCAAAGATTTACTGTCTCAGAAACCCTATCCAGGGTCACTGTGAGGTAGAACCAACTTCAAGGCACATAATAACAATAGGAATTATCTTTGCATTATTTTGTTTAAAAAAATCAATGATTTTTATAAAACAATGCTTACAATTTAAAACAATTATATGGTTTTATATGTTGGATATGACAATTTGAAGAGAAATGCTGTCGCATTCTTCATCAAAAGACCAGTTCAAGTTCTATATTGAAGTATAATGTTGTCTGTAATAGGATAATATCCATATGCCTACAAGGAAAAACAGTAAATACCACTATTATTCAAATTTACACCCCAAACACTAAAACAATAATGATGAAATTAAAGATTTCTATCAACTTCTTCAGTCTGAAACTGATTAGGCATGCAATCAAAAAGTAATGATAATTACTAGTGGTTTGAATGTAAAAGTTAGAAACATAAAGGAAACAACAATTGTTGGAAAATATGGTCTTGGTGATAGAAATGATGCTAAAGACTACAAGAAAGAATTTTGTAAGATTCATGATTTGTTCATTACAAATACCTTTTAAAAAACACATAAAATATAACTATACACATGAACCTCACAAGATGGAATACACAGAAATCAAATTGACAACATCTGTGTAAAGAGACATTGGAAAAACTCAATATCTTCAGCCAAAATAAGGCCATGGGAAGACTGTGGAATAGACCTCAATTGTTCCTTTGCAAGTTCAGGGTGAAGCTGAGGAAAATTAAAACAAGCCCACATGTCAAGGTCCTATGTTGGGTTCCAGCCTCGACAAGGAAGTGTGGGTATCATGAAGAAGGAGATCTGGCAGCGAAAAGGGATAGAGAAAGAGAAAGACGAAATATATACAAAAAAGACAGACACACAGATATGATGCAAGCTGGCAGGTAGGCATATCTGCAAACATATTGCCTAGCATTGCACACAGATCTAACTCTACCTCAGTCTTTTATTCTCCTTTTTAGGGAGGGATTTGTTACAAAGGAAGGATGTAATTCACTCACAAAGGGAGGATGTGATTAAGACAGGATATGGAACTGAAATGTGATTATTCATTCAAAGCAGTACATAATGATTCACAGGAATAACTTTTAAAATATTTTCATAGTTTTTCTTAACAATCTAACATTCTTATTTCTACAGAAAAAAGGTTCAGTCAAGCTTTTATATATTAATTTTTAGGCTTAAATGATCTAGAGCAGCGACATGTGGTTTCTCAAGTATACTTAACATAAAGCAAGATTCCTGAAAGGAGCCAAGCTGTCTCTGTACACTTTGCAAACTTTTGTTTGTGAGCAAGCTCTCACGCACCGGGCTTCATTTATCTATATCTAAAATGCTACATTGTTCCTAATTATCACATTTCTATATACTTTCAGGAGGAAGGAGAGCATCTGGGTTAAACTGATTATATTCAGAGGCGTTTTAATGGGGCTGCCACTATTATCCTCTAATCCAACATTCCCAGAATTTACCATTCCACTTTATTTACAAACCTTGGGTAGTTTTTCTCTAAAAACCCTTTCACATATTCCCAATATACCTGTTCCTGGCCTTTCTGAATTATCTGAGGAAACTTTTTACTGCCTCGGCTCTAAAAAGGGGTTTCAAACCCATTATTGTTCATGGATATCCAACATAACTGTATAATCAAATAAGGAGCAGTTCTGACTTCCATCCCAGGTGGCTATCGCTTGTTCTTCAGAAAGATTTGTTCCCAAGACTCCACTCACTGCCAACACAGTGGAGGCATTAAGAGAGGCATTGTAAAAGAAACCATTTTCTCAGAAGCTATACTTACTGGAGTTAGAAGCATAGAATGAACAATATTAGGACCAAAGAAAATTATAGAGGTAGCCAACCAATGAGTTTGCAAAAACCAATGAACCCGGGACGTCAGGAGATCACTTCCTTTGGCCCTCAGGGTCCATGGCTCGCTATCCTGAGAAGGGCCTTGGGATTGGATTTTCGTCCATGTTGTCACAGGGCCACAACGTCTCAGTACTTACGTATGTCCCCAACATCCACAGAGCCAAAATATGACTTTGAAACATCCCACCTAAGTTTAGAGATCATCTCAAGAAAAGATTTGATGCATTCAACATTCAACACTGAAGACCAGAAGAATTGTGGGATGACATCAAGAACATCATACAGGCTGAAATCAGAAGGTCATTAAGACAAGACTATAATGGATATCAGAAGAGACTCTGCAACTTGATTTCCTTCATAGAAATACTAAATCAAATAGAAGAAATGAGGAAGTCAAAAAGTCAAATAGACAATTACACAGAGAAGCTGGAGAAGACAAAATCAAATATTATAATGACTTGTACAAAGACCTGGAGTTAGAAAACCAAAAGGGAGAAACACAGCATTTCTCAAGCTGAAAGAATTGAAAAAAAAATTCAAGCATTGACTTGGAATACTGAAAGATTCTACGCGCAAAATACTGAATTAAGCAGAAAGCATCAAAAGAAAGACAGAAGGAAAAGAGAGTCAGTATCAAAAAGACATAGATGGCTGGCAGGCCTCATGCCTCCAGCGTGTACTGAAGATGGCAGCTGCTGATAGAAGGTTACTCCTGGCCTCTGTGGCCCGACATATGAGCACCATTCGTTGGGGCATTTCCGCTTCTGCAGCCCTTAGGGCTTCTGCTTCTGGAAGAAAGTGTCTGACGAGAGGGTTGTGGTCTGGGCATCCTCAAGCAAAATGCTCCTTTAGCACCAGTCCCTCACGCCTAGCCCCTGCTTTCCACACAACATGCCCCTACTTTAAGGTCATGGTCAATGGAGAGTTCAAAGAATTGAGCCTCCATGAGGGAATGTACTTGGTGCTCTTGTTCTACCCTTTGGACTTCACCTTTGTGTTATCTACAGAAATTGTGGCTTTTAGAGATAAAGTTAAGAAATTTCATGACATGAACTGTGAAGTCATTGCTGTTTTGGTGGATTCCCACTTTAGCCATCTTGCCTGGATAAATACACCAGGGAAGAATGGCGGTCTAGGCCACATGAACATCCCATTCTTGTCAGATTTAATGAAACAAATTTTCCGAGACTATGACGTGCTGTTAGAAAACCCTGGTCTTGCATTCAGAGGTCGCTTCATCATTGATCCCAAAGGAGTCATCAAGCACCTGAGTATCAATGATCTCCCCATGGGCCGGAGCGTGGAGGAGACCCTCCACTTGGTGAAGGCGTTCCAGTTTGTGGAAGCACATGGAGAAGTCTGCCCATTGGCCACAACAGTCAGACATGTGCCTGCCACATGGCCTCCCGCTGCCCCCCCTTTCCAAGGTGTCACTCTACAGGGTGGAAACATGCCCACAGGAAGGCCTGAATGCAGGTGTACACGGTAGCACTTTCCAGTGGTCCAAATTGAAACCACCTAATTGCCCATCAGCGGATGTAGGGAAAACAGCAGTGGACAGGGGCAGACGAGTGATGTGTACTCTTATCATAGGGGAACCAAAACCAAGCAGAGCGAAAGACGTCAGCCGCAAGAGACCACTTACAGGACTTCACACTGATACAGAATGGCTTAAAAGGCAAGTTTCTGCAAACTGGACACCCAATTCCCTGATAATCCCAAGAGACCACTTACAGGACTCCACACTGATATAGAATGGTTTAAAAGGCAAGTTTCTGCAAACTGGATACCCAATTCCCTGACAATCAAACCAAACCAGACTGCTTCCAAAGAATACGTTGCGGGAGTGAATCAGTAGGGCATCCAGTGCGCACCTGTAGCTGTGTGTGCCAGTGGAGAACCCCACACTGGGCTCACTGCTAGCATTTCCGAGACAATGACTTTGTTTGCTAACATTGGCTAAGACATGACTAGTTAGAATGTCTGTCTCAACGCCTCTTCGGATCATGTCTTCAATGAGAAAAAGAAACACTCGTCACGCTTAGCCTCACTTGCACCTCTGTGGACGCCAGAGTAGCACAGCCAACATTGGAAATTTCTCTACTTGTATGTCATTGTATGAAATGAAATATTCTTGTAACATACCAGAGATCACTGTTTTAAGTGTTAGCATCAACAATGTATGTACTCTTGGGATGGGTGTGGATGTGATGGAAACCGATGTGAATCATGTTTTGAAAACTCTGATGGTAACCAAGTGACTTAACTGATCACACATGATCCCTACTCCTGAGATCATGGTTACATGGTTGTTTTATTCAGTTTACTCATTAGTTGACTTAGTTTCTGTATTCATTTGTAGAGATTGATTGGTGTGATTATAAAGGATATTTACTGAGTCCAGAGATCGCATTTTGAAATCACTGTAATTATTTTCTCTCCTGTGCTCAATGTAAAGTATATTATAAAAAAGTAACATATTAAAAAAAAAAAAAAAAGACATAGATGATGTTCAACCATTTCAAGAGGCAGCATATGATCAAGAGTCAAAGGTACAGATAGAAAATGTCTAAGGTGCACTGAAGGTATTGGGAAAGAACAAAACTGGTAATTGATGGTATGCAAATGGCAATTTTACAACAAATGATGCAATTCTGGAAGTACTCATTCATCTGTATAAAAAAGTTTGGAAGACAGCTACCAGGCCAGGCAATTGGAAGAGATCTGTATTTGTTACCATTCAAAACAGAGTTGACTCAATAGATTGTGGACATTGTTGGACAATATCATTAATATCACATGATAGTAAAATTTTGCTAAAAATAATTTTAAAACGGCTACAATAATACATTGACAGGGAACAGCCAGAGGTTCAAGTCAGATTCAGTAGTGGACTTGGAATGAGGGATATCATTGCTGATGTTAGAGAAATTTTGGCTGAAAACAAAGAATACCAGAAAGATGTTTACTTATGCTTTATTGACTGTGCAAAGGCTTTTGAATGTGTGGAACGTGACAAACTACAGACAACACTGGGGGAAGAATGAGTACTCTGGAACATTTACTTGTGCCCATGAAGAGCCTGTGCATATACCAAGAGTTAGTCATTTGAGCAGAACGAGGAGGCATTGAATGGTTTAGAATTTGGAAAGGTGTGCTACAGGGTTGTATTCCTTCACCATACATAGTTAATCTGTATGCTGAGCAAATAATCTGAGAAGATGGATTACATGACTAAAGACTGGAAGAAAAGTCACTAATAACCTATGATATGCAGATGATACAACATTGCTCACTGAAAACATGGAGGACTTAAAGTAATTATTGATTAAGTATACAGACCACAGCCTTCAGTAAAGGTTGCACCTCATTGTAAAGGAAACAAAAAACATTGCCACTGGACCTGTAGATAACTCATGATGGATGGAGAAAAGACTGAAGTTGTCAAAGACTTCATTTTGTTTATTCTGCTATCAACACTCATGGAAGCAGCTGTCAGGAAATCAAACAACATATTGCATTGGGCAAATCTGCCACACAGAATCCCTTTAAAGTGCTCAAGAGCAAAGATGTCAGTTGTAGGATTCATATGCACCTTTTCCAAGCCATAGTATTCTCAATAACCTCATATGCATGCAAAAGTTGGATAGTGAATAAGAAAGACTGTGGAAGAATTTTATACATTTGAGTTACAGTGTTGGAGAAGAATACTAAAAGTACCATGGTCTGCCGAATGAACAAACAATTCTGTGTTGGGAAGAAGTGCAGTCAGAGTTCTCCTTGGAATCCAGTATGGCCAGTCACTTTAATACTTTTTTTTTTTGTTGTTAATGACTCCATAGTGGTTACAAATTGGGCTGTGAACTGCAAGGTCAGCAGGTCGAAACTAGCAGTTGCTCCGCGGGAAAAAGATGAGTCTTTCTGCTCCCGTAAAGATTTACAGCCTCAGAAACCCTGTACAGAGTCGCTATGAGTTGGAACCAAACACAAGGCACATCACCACCCACCAAAAATAAAAATAATTTAAAATATTTAATCATCATCTCTCATTATCAATTTCCATTTTCTTAAAATTTTTATTGTATGTAGAAAAAGGCAAACTCTTGTATACTTGTGCCAATGTTTAGAAGTAATCATATGGATTTTTGAGACCAAAAATAGTCACCCAATATCTTTTTGTAAATTTATCTTTGAGGTTATTAAATAGTGCTTCTGAATCCAATGTTCCTTCTTAAAAAAACAAAACCTAAAGACAGAGTGTTAACAATGTGTGTTTTTATTTTAGTAGCAGAAATATGACATCAAAATCTTACTCCAAACCCTGCTTATGAAAAGATCAAAGTAGTGTGGCTCTGAATGGAGAGTTGCATGCAGCATCCTGCTGTATAATTTTCTACATTTATCTGTAATCGAGTATGAAGATCCCAAATTAACTCAAGGTTCCACGGAAAACTGTTGGAAAATCAGCCTGTTGCCAAACTTAAAAGTATTTTTCATTTTCTGAACTTACAAAAGCAAGAAAAAGATCTTTTCTTTCTACTTCAGGCCATTGACCCACCCACACAATACATCCTAGGTTTCTGCTTTCCTTTCTCACAGCTCTCATCACATTTCAGACTTTTGTCTTTGTAAGTTTCTTTCCACACAGCCTGGTTTCTTCATAAATTTAGAGACTATAGTTATGGTTTTTACAGCCCCATTTGAAAGCATCATCTTTGAAACATAGTAAGTACTTAGGAAATGTTTGCTAAGTAAATAAATTGTTGAACCAATAAATTAATAGGAGTCTTGGTTGATCCTGTAGGGTAAGCATTGAACTGCAAGGTAGTTTGAGTCTCAAGGTCTGCTGTTTAAACTCACCAATTGCTCCCTGGAAACATTATACAGGTCGCTATGAGTTGGAATCATTATGAGTTGATAGTACTTTAACAACAACAACAACAAATGAATAATTAACTAAAAAGTAAATAAATGAAGGAAATCATAAAATGCATATTGGACAGTGTTATAAACGAGATTAAGAAAGTGCTTAGTAATTCCAATTTGCTACTTTAAATCAATTTGTGCACAGTCAAATTTACCAGCTATTCTGCTTACATATTTAGAGACTCTATCTTGCCTCCTGTTGCAACAAGAAGCATTCCACACACCCAAGCACATCCCTGAACTTATGATTTGGATAGGTCATCTTTCTATGTGCTTATAAACTGTTTGTTATAGATAATTCTGCTCTTCTTTATCATCAACTTTTATTCAACTGTTGTTAAATGGCAATATAATAGTTTGAAATGTTATAAAATTAATGATCAATGTTTAAAGACCTCTTCTGAGATATTTTTTCCTTTTTTCTGAATAATGATAAGGAAAAAGACACAAGCTATTAGGAAAACACTTTCTCTGCTTGTCATTATAAAAATGGTTCCTAAAATAAACTGTTAACTATATTCCCACAAATAGATATATATTCTACTGGAAAGCAACTGTATTAAAAGTTACACAGAAAACAATGATGAAGATTAAGGAAAAAAATACATTGGCTTGCATTGTACGTTTTGAAATTTTGCTATATAATATGATTAAGGTGTTTTCTAGTATTTACAGCTTAAATATTTACTAGTTTTTCATTATGAAATAGAAGAGATGATTTATTTCTTAAGCAATAAAGTATGGAAGTACAAAATAATGCATATTCTTTACATAGCAATTCTCTACCACTTGTCTGGCACTTTGTCATACTGTGGTGGCTTGCCTGTTGCTGTGATTCAGCAAAATATGCCACAAGTATTTTAAATATCAGAAGGGTCACCCATAGTGTACAGGTTTGAGCTGAACTTCCAGAATAAGACAGACTAGGAAAAAGGAGAGATGGACGGCTTCCAAATATTTTGTCACTGAAAACCTTATGACTAGCAGTGGGAACACAGTCGGATACCACTAGAATATTGAATATTTAAACATTATGAATAGCACCAGATTATCAGCTATAGTGCCAGGAGAATAGGTTGAAAGGCACTCAAAATACAATAGAGGAAGAGTTGTCCTATCAAAGTATAGTTGACCATGATGTGACAAATGAAATAAAGTTTAAGATTCCATCATATGCTGATGAGACACAACTCAAAATGAGGGGAAACAGCTGTAAATATTCATTAACAATCAGAAAACAGATTTTATGGAGTATGAATATAGGAAAATTTGAAGTTGTTAAAAATAAAATGGAATGCATAAACATCCATGTAGTAGGTATTATTGAGCTGAAATGGCCTAGTATTGTTCACTTTGAATCAGACAATAATACTGACTACTATGCCAGGAATGACAAATTGAAGAGGAATGGCATTGCATTCATCATAAAATATATTTAAAGATCTATCTTGAAGTACAATGCTGTTTGTGATAGGATAATATAAATATGACTATAAGGAAGAGACTGAAATGTGCTCATGAGAAACCTGTACATAGACCAAGAGGCAGTTGTTTGAACAGAACTAGGGAACACCGAATGATTTAAAATTAGGAAAGGTGTGTGCCAATGTTGTAATCTTTCACCATACTTATTCTATCTGTATGTTGACCAAATAATCAGAGAAACGAGATTATATGAAGGAGAACATGGCGTCAAGATTTGAGGAAGTCTCATTAACAACCTGCTATTTGCAGATGATACAACCTTGCTTGCTGAAAACAAAGAGGACTTAAAATATTGATGAAGATCAAAGACAACAGCTTTCAGATTGGGTTTCATCTCAATGTAAATAAAACAAAAATCCTCATCATTGGACCAATAATAACATATAAGCAAATGGAGAAAAGACTGAAGTTGTCAATGACTTCATTTTGCTTGGATCAACCATCAGC